TATGCCTAGGGTTTCCATGCTCTCACTAGGTCAGGTCAACTGTTTCTTTGGGTTTCTGCAGCACTATCTTGGCTCCTTTGCTCATCCTTCCTCCCTCTCCACAACTTGATTCCAGGAGTATGGTTCAGTGCTTAGCTGTGGGTGCCTGTTTCTGCTTCAAACAGCTACTGGATAAAGGCTCTAGGAATGGTAACCAAAGTAGACACCAATCCATTATAGGGAAAGGGCATCAATGGCATCTTCTCTACCACTGCCTGGATTCTTAGTTGGGGTCATCCCTGTGGATCCCCTAACATTTCCCCTGGAGTCAAGAGGATCAGAAATTCAAGGCCCTCCTCAGCTACACATCAAGCTAAAGGCCATCTAGGACTACATAGCAAACCCTTGTCTCTAAAGAAATGAATCCAGACTCCTGTCCTGCTGATCCTTCTAACTTTATTCTTCTAAACACATCTCTTGTGTGTTTTAAATTAAATAATAAATAAAAATATTTAAAAATAAGTTTATGGGGGGGCCGTAGGGGAGGACGGGTGGGAGAAGGGAACTGGGATTGTCATGTAAAACAATCCTGTTTCTAATTCAAATTTAAAAAGTTGGAAAAAATAAATAAATTTATGAAAATAAAATAAGGGGCCCAGAGGTTAAGAGCACTGGCTGCTCTTCCAGAGGTCCTGAGTTCAATTCCCAGCAACCACATGGTGGCTCATACCATCTGTAATGAAAATTGGTTTCCTCTTCTGGCCTGCAGTCATTGACAGAACACTGTATACATAATAAATAAATAAATCTTCAAAAAAGATAATAAATAATAAAGTAGGTTGTGTATACTTCTTACAGTAAATATATCATAAACATGTGTAACTGTTAATCTGTCAACTGGAGTTAGAATCACTCCAGCTCTAGGCATGTCTAAAGAGGGCATTTCTAGAGAGGTTTAACTGGAGTGGATGTTAACCCTGAATATGGGTAGTGCCATTCGATGGGCTAGGTTCTCAGACCGAAAAAAAAGGAGAAAGGGAGGCACCACAGTATTCAGCCTCTGCTTCCTATGGACTGTAACTAGCCTCCTCATGCCCTTCTGCCAACATATGGGGCTGCTTCCCCACTACACCTCTCGTGCCATGACTAATGTCCTTCAACTCTAAGCCAAAAGCAAACCTTTACCGTCTTTGTCTTTGTTAACTGCCTAAGCAAATTACGCTTCGTTATTGTACAATAAAACTAATAAAATTGTTAAATGTTTATAAAGTCTCATTTTATAATACTTGTCAGATTTTTCTCAGTGTGTATCCATCTTCTCATGTGCATTTGTGAATTATGTACTAAACATATTAATCCCAATGTTGTAATGGAGCCCATGATTTTATGTGCCAACTAAAAATAGTTAATTTTAAAATGATGTTTCTGCTTACTATTTAAAGTACAACAGGGGCCAGTGAGTAGACACATGGTTCGCTGGGTAGAGGCACTGCCATGCATGTCCTGTGGCACATGTCTGCCCCGCCCCCATACACACACACTAACAATGCATATGCCTGTTTAAAACAAGTACTTTTTACATTTTTAAAAATATTTTAGGCTGGGGCTGGAGGGATGGCTCAGAGGTTAAAAGCACTGGCTGCTCTTCCAGAGGGTCTGAGTTCAATTCCCAGCAACCAGATGGTGGCTCACAACCATCTGTTATGAGATCTGGCACCCTCTCCTGGCCTGTAAGTATACATGTAGACAGAATACTGTATACACAATAAATTAATCTTGTTTGTTTGTTTTTTTTAAAAAAGTTCTCTTTAAAAAAATATTTTAAGCTATTCATGTTTCACCCACCAGAATTTTCTTTCTTAGAAAACCAATGGGTTTCCATTAAAGTGTCCAAAATTATTAGCATATTGTATCTACAGCTATGTGTTCTTCATTTACAATAGGTAGTTTGTTGTTGCTGTTTCTTGTTTGGCTTACCACAGTGTACCTAATTTACCGGTCTCTTCAGAACTCGACTTTTTGGATTTAAATTTAAATCCCATTTTTAAAATTTTCTCGTGTCTTTCTTAGTTATTTTCATTTTATAGTTTCTTGAATTCACTGCCTATTTTATTTGTACACACTCATGAAATATAACAAGACAACTTATAAGAGAAAATGTTTAAACTGGGAGGTGGTGGCCCACGCCCAGCACTTGAGAGGCAGAGGAGAGCGACAGAGAAAGAGAGAGAGAGAGAGAGAGAGAGAGAGAGAGAGAGAGAGCGCATTTAATTTGGTGCTCACAGTTTCAGAGGATTAGACTCCATGATCATCATGACGGTAGTCAGGCAGGCATGGTGCTGAGCTCACATAGTAATCCACAAGCATGAGGCAGAGTGAGTGAGCTAACTCGGGGTGATGTAGGCTTTTGAAACTGCATACGACCTCTGACAAAGCCACCCATCTTTCATCCTTCTCAAACTGTTCTACCAACTGGGGACCAAGTATTCAAATACATGAGCCTATGAGTCCATTCTCATTCAAACCATCACAGTGAGACTGAGTTTTTCTCTATTTAGGCTATATTTTGAATATTTTAATTTTTTCTATTTCTATAGCCTCAGACTCTATATATTGATTTTTCTTTGACCTCATTTTAAAAAAGATTTACTATTATTTTTAATTACGTGTGCCTGGGTTGCAGTATGTGCACGACACCCCTGGAAGCCAGAGTTGTTGGACCCTCTGGCTGAAGCTGGTGCTGGCTGTGGGTGTTGGGAACTGCACTTGAGTACAGTGAAAGCAGAATATGCTCTTAACTACTGAACCATCCCTGCAGTCCTTAAAACAGACAAATGAACAACAAACAAAAGAAACCAGAGTCTCAATATGTATACCTGTCTGGACTGAAACTTGTTACATAGACCATGCTGGCCTTGAACTCAGAGATCTGCCTGCCCCCGCCTCCCAAGTTGGCCACTACACCTGGTTTGACCTAAGAGTTTTTAAGAAAGTCAGTCATCTTGTCTTCTCCACTCCTCCTTTTCCCCCTACCCACCTTCCCATGTCCCCCCACACTGGCATTGAACTCATAACCTTCCTGCCTTTTAGCCCGAAAATCTTTGTTAATTACTCCCTTTATTGTCTGGTGATCAGAGAATGTAGTCTGGTGGTTTGAATGAAAATGGACCCGGATAGGCTCATTGATGGAACGTTTGGGAAGTATTAAGGGGTGTGGCCTTGTTGGAGGTGTGTCACCGTGTGGCTCTGAGGTTTCAAAAGCCCATACCCATCCCAATTAGCTCTCTGTGCCTGCTTGTGAATGGAGATCTGCGCTCTCAGCGACTGCTTCAGCACCATGCCTGCCTGCCTGCTGCCATGCTCCCTGCCAGGACAGTCATGGATTAACCCTCTGAAACTGTAAGCTCCCAACTTTCTTCCACAGGTCACCTTGATCATAGTGTTATCACAGCAATAGAAAAATATCTAAGACATAATCTATGTGTTATTTATAGTCTTATGTTAACATAGTTTCATGGATACTTAAAAATAATATGTAAATCTGGAATGATATCTTTCACCACTCAGGAGGCTGGGGTGAAGGGACTGCTATGAGTTTGAGGCTAACCTGGGCTACTTCCAGAGCAGCATGAGCTATTTTGTGAAATACACATTATTCATACTTTTTTGGGTTACATTTTATCAATTCTTCCTGCTTTATCATTTTACTTTATATTTTGATAGAAAGTTATTAATAGGTTTTTCTGCCCCACCCTACCATAATAAGTTCATCCAGTGATGCAGAAAGCCAAATCAAGCCAAACTGAAAAAGTGTAACAACAGGTTTATTTGAGCAGAGAAACTCCCAGGTGGGTTCTCTGTTCCCAGAGACCAAGGTGGGGGAGACTTCCCAGACTGTGTAGGGGTGAGCTTGAGGTTCTAAAGAACAATCAGATACTGTTATGTCTTCACATAATAGACGATGACATAAAATTATTTCTGCAACCCAATTATTTCTATCTTAAATTCTATTAGTTTCATGTTTTTTTAAAAGATTTTATTTATTTATTATGCATACAACATTCTGTTTCCATGTATACCTGCCCACCAGAAGAGGGCAGCAGATCTCATAATGGATGGTTGTGAGCCACCATGTGGTTGCTGGGAATTGAACTCATGACCTCTGGAAGAGCAGTCAGTGCTCTTAACCTCTGAGCCATCTCTCCAGCCCAGTTTCATCTGTTTTGATATTAGTGACTGAACTATGTTCTTTGGCCTTTGTGTTTTAACAGCTTTGCTTTTAGCCTTTGCTTTTCAAGTGAGTTGCTAAGATGACAAGCCTCTCAAATCCAAAAGCCTCCTGGTCCTAAGCATCTTAGAGAAGGGACACTCAGCCTGGGTTGTCTATGCTACTTACGTTTTTCCTGCCAAGTCGCTCGTTCCTCAGTTTCCTCACCTAAAACAGAGAGAGAACAGAAAAACCACAGAGCTGCTGCAGGGATTAAACACTTGGTACCATGGTTGGCACACAGTTAAGAGGTTAATAAACAACAGCTAGTGTTACAGAAATCATATGCACATACACATGCATACAGACATACAGACACACACACACACACACACTCCCATGCATACAGACAGACACATACACACACTCTCCCATGCATACCAACATATACAATTTGGTATTCTTTGCTCCCCATGACTTCTCCTGACTCTGGAAAATGGTCTGTGATCCTAACTCACCACAGCAGGAGCTCAGGCCAAGCCATTAAGATTTTCTGATCTGTATCTAGCATGTACATGCATTACATCAAAACATAAATATTCCCCTCCAGCATAATGCAGTGGTTTCCAGTGTGGCCTCCATCCCATGTACCCCACAGAGGTCTGTGAAGAGCAGATCCCAATATGGCACATGCTGAAAAGCACAGGGTTAAATCATCCTGGCACTTGTCATGGGAATCTGTGAACACAGTGACAAAAACGACTTTCTACAGAGCGAAATGTGACCCCACAGAAGAACAGAATGGCAGCAACAATTTAATCTTTATCATTTATTATTTTTATTTGGACAACTTATATACATATGTACAAAATACCTACGGTCAGAATCCTCTTTTATAATTTCATTTGATTTACAAAAACGGGACAGCAAAATAACTTAGGTCACTAATACTGTACAAAAATAAAACTGATTAAACAGTTGTAAAGATCAGTATCTTACAGTGTTACAGACCATTCATCCGCTGTGAAAGAACATCTTATCTACCCAGAGTGATGAGTACTGTGCTAAATCTATCTGCAAACTGACAAACTAATTGGTTTCTGTAATTGTAACTACCAAATATAATTCTCAAAAGAAGCGTGATGTGGAGCTTAAAGCCAGGGTGTCATTCCACAATGGTGAAGGGCTTTCTTCTTCCCTAACCAAGGAGAGGAGATATCTTAACTCTAAAACTAGTATATTTTCCATGAATGACAACTACTTACAGTATTAGATAAAACGGCTTCTCTTTCTTTTTAAACACCTGCGATCGTCTTTCAAAAAATTCAGTTTGGTTAAAAAAGTAAACAAAAATTACTATCCTGCATTTGGATTTTTATACGTTAAATCCATGGTCTTTTTAATATAAAAAGTAATTGTCTCATAGTTTTAGTGTTCAATGAACTCTAGTAGTCCTATTTGAACCATATTTCCGTGTAGTAAATCTAATTAGAATGCTGCTTCCTGTTCTGTGACGCAAAACAGGACTTATCACAAAGAATAAAAAGCCTTGAGTGTATACGTTACGTTACTAGAACATAGAAGAGAATATCAAATGTGTGTCTGTCAACAACTTGAAAAGGCAAGTAGCAACTCTTCCGGGAAGTAAATTGTGCATTTTTTTTTTTTTAAACAAGTTGCTGCGTTTATATCCATCTAAGTGTTTGACAAGAGCCACATACAGATTTACTCCTGAAACAATAAAGATTGTCTTTCACTGACTTGGTTTTCCTTCATTTCTTTCTGTGAGGGAAAGCTGAGTTTATACAAGTTAGCAAGTTGCTAGGCAACCTCAAACTCCTCACTCACTAAAAGGCAGCGCGCAGAGTACCCTATGCATAGCCTTTCCATGAGCTCAGGAAGAAATAGGCAGCCTAACCTATTTCATATGGAAGAACAGATGTCCTTAAAACTTATTTTGGACACAGAAATTAAAATTTGGTTTAAAATAAGCGTTTCAAAAATCTGAAACAGAGGTAGAAAGTGTTCTTTATTTTTCCTGACATGTTTTCTCGTGAGAAAACACTTTCCTTTTTTAGCTCATGGACTGCTCCCAGTCCCTAATGTTAAAAGCAGTTCTCTTGCTAGAACTACTGATACAACTCCATTGGTTAAACAGAAAACACTGTGCTAGTGATGGCTGTTGTATTGGAAGTCGGAGTCAGCTGTGCCCCACGCGCTGCAGGAGCACCCGCTGCTGAGATGGGAGTGAGCATGCGCTGGGTGAAATGTGGAGCTCGCTGCAGGTGAGAACCCCGAGTTTACACACCATGTGCAGCACATGGCTAAACTAGAGTGCACCGTAGCTCCCTGTTTTAAATATCAGATAAAATCATCAGAAAGTGGTATTTCTGAAGGAAAAAAAAAAATGTAAACATTTCCCCATGATCACTGCTGACTCCCCTCAATTGAGGTTTTTTGTTTTGTTTTCATTTTTTTTTTTTTAACTATGAAAACTAGTTTGTTTTTCTGGCCATGTAAAAGCCAAAATTAAGTTTTCAGTAAATGGCATAGGATGGATATAGTGGTTCAGGCCATTGTAGACACCTAAATAACAAGCTAAGTAGTGGTAGGGCCACTGATGCAGACAGCTGGTGATGTGATGTCACTCATGTAGGTTTCTTTGACCTGTGTTCACCAGAAGGGGCTGTTCTGCAGAGTCGCCTTTGAAATTATTGTGGTGTCTTCCCTTGGTACTACTTATAGGGGCAAACGGTTTGTTTTTGTTTTTTTTTTTTGTGTGTGTGTGTGGGTTTTTTTGCTTGTTTTTCATATTTCAGCTCCCTTTCCTTTGCTATCTCTTGCACCTTGTAGTGGGAGTCTCATAGGAACACAAGAAAGCGACCAAGAAATACCCCTCCCCACCCCAAAAGAAAACCCCAAAAGAAAACAGGCATTTCCAGGCCTGGTGACAGTTATGCACCCATTGATCAACTAACCCTAGACAGAGCCGAATGCTCTTGCTCTGTGTCCTGGTGCCATGAGTGTAATAAGATGACGTTATCAGAAAGGACGGGGAAATTCGAATTCATGAAGTTAAAATTGTTCACTTTCGCATTTTTGAAATACTACCTTCCTCCCCCTCCTCCTCCTCAGCATGTGTTTTATACATTCTGCCCTCACTCACATCTCTGCCGTGGGTTCTCAGGGAAACGTGTATACTGTAAAATAAGCAGATTATAACGTGGTGCCAAACAGAACGTCTGCTTCTACCCTCAAAGCACCCTCGGTATCAGAAAGTAAAAGTGCAGTTTATGTTCAGATAGTACGATTCATACAAAGCAGGGTTTGAAAGTTCCGGACTTAACATGACCTCTCGAAGGTTTGTCTTGATTAGTGTGAATTCGGACTCTGCTTATCCATAGACTATAAGTAACTTTTGTTTGTTTGTTTGTTTTCAAGTCTTTAGATGACAGATCATGCTGGAGTAGGTGTGCTCTTGCTTGCATAAAAGACAGCTGTGCTATGGAGGGATTTTTTTTTTTTTTTTTTAAATCTCAAAAGTTAAAGTGATTCAAGAGAGTGGTTCTGCTAAACAAACTGAAGCACACTGGTCGTTACATTAAAGAGAAGAAAACAATTCCGAGAGTCAACAAGCATCAAGGACCCAGAGTCACTGTGGGAGGCCAGGGGTCAACTCACCCAGTCAGACATATGTACACCAGTGTGAATCTTCAAAATCCTACCCCGAGTCTTGGCCTTGCCCCCTTCCTCCCACCCCCCCACCCCCAAAACAAAGGAGAAAATACCAAAAGCATTTGCCTGCCCTCCAACAGTCAAGAGACGGTTCCAAGTTGCCTCTGCAAGGGGACCAAATGTTGACTTTGATCTTAGGCTACCATGTGCTTTTTGGAAACAGTACAGGGAAAGTATCAGACTAATTGACCAAAGAGCAGTGACCTCCTGTGGCCAGCGCACCTCTGCTGGGGCGGGTTTCCACGTGTCCGTCTGTTTCCTGGGAGCTTTGTCCTTCCGGGGACCATCTCAGCCTGGCTGCCACGGGGAGCACCTCACAAGGGGCTGGCAAGAGCCTTTTTTGATCGCTTGATCATGCTGGGGTGGAACTCGGTGTGACGCCGGGCGTGCTTGGTGAGGTGGTCACTCCTCATGAATCTCTTCTCACACAGCGGACAGCGGAACTGCTTTTCGCCAGTGTGGGTCCGGTAGTGGCGGGTGAGCTCATCCGAGCGCGAGAACTTTTTAAGGCAGTCTGGCCACGTGCAGGGAAAGGGCCGTTCACCTAAGAGAAGGGAATCAAGAAAGAACACTGTTGAGAGGTCATGTCAAAAACATTCTGAAGGCCATCTATGGATGACAAACCCTATGACACAATCCCCTTGTCAGGAGTTTTATGAGCTCTATTGTGTTTCTCTCAAGACCTCAAGTCCTGAACGCTCACAAACACGTCTCAGAATGTGGCTGTATAGTTGTTCCCCGGATCCATGGGCTCCATATCTAGATTCAACCAATAATGGATGTAAAAATATTTGGAAAGGAAAAACTGTCTCATGTTTACTGACGTTTTACTGTCATTTTTCTTCATGATAGAATACACGGTGTTTACATTGTATTAGATACTGTAAGCAAATGCACTATCTAAGCAAATAAAAACTTGCATTTTAAATTTTAAAGATTCTGTATGTGTGTGTACATGGGCATGTGTGTTATGACACTCACATGGAGGTCAGAGGACAAGTTGTGGTGTCAGGTTTCTTCTTCCATTTTTACTGGGGCACTGGGATTGGATTCCGGTCACCAGACTTGCACGGACGTGCTACCTGCTCAACCATCCCACCATCCGAAATGCTCACATTTTTGTTCAGGGCTTTGCACCTGAGGATCCTGGCATGGAAGGGGGTGGGGGCTTGGTCCCTACACCAAGTCCTTAAAGAGGTAATGGGGACTAAATGAGCTCACTGGGTGTGGACCTTCACCCCATGACTGGTGTCCATGTAAGGGGAACAGGCAGGGCCATGAGAACAGTGAGAAAGCAGTCACCCTCAGACAGACCTCTGTGAACATCCAGACTCCAGAGACAAATGTTGACTCAACCATCCGTCTGTGGTTCCTTCTTCTGGCAGCCCTGGCAAGCTAGGCTATGGGGAAATCACTGAGAACCCTCTAAGCAAATAAGCTCAGTACCTGTACCCAGTGATCACTCACTCACAAGTCTTTTTATACCCCTTCTAATTTTATCCTGTGCAATTGTTGGTTTCATGAGATCTTCAGATCAGGCCAAAGACCGAGCCCTTTGCTCCATTTCCTGGCATTGTAGAGATGAAAGTAAGGAACTGAGAGGCCACCTTCCCTCCCACAACAGGCACTTCCCTTAGACCTCCCCAGGACTGTAGCCACCTAGCATCTCCCAGCAAGTCTGATGATAGGAAGCCACTACCTGGGGTGGCAGCCTGGCAGCGCTTGAAGATAAGCTGCACAGAGTCTTCATTGTTGTGAACTGTGCCCTCCTGCAAAGCTGTCTTCTATGTCACAATGTCTCAGCACCCAGCTGTCACTGTTTTACCAGCCATCTCTTCCTCAGATTAAACAGCCCCAGTCCCTCCATCTTCCTCCCATTAAGTGAAGACAGAGGGCTAGGGCTACCCATTCAGTTTCACTGGCTTCTCATGGGGTTGTCGTCCCCCCCAACCCCGCCCCACACATGGCGGCCATCATACAGATGAGAAAATGGAGATTTGGAGGGTTAAGTTACTTGCTCGGAAGCCAGGAGCTCACTGTCTGCCTGATGTCAAGCTCTGGGCTTCTAGCTACTCACTCGGCTGTCCAGTGCTCACGGGTCATGAGGACTTGGCACTTTTCTATATCCCTCTAGGTTCTGACTGCTTTCTTAATGTTGGAGTCACACCAAATCATGCCACACCTAGAATGCAGTCAAATACATGTTCATGGTAGCATCAAGAGATACCCATCCCTTACACAACCACCAAGATACTAGCAAGGGGCATGGGACGGTGTCATCGCACCAGAAGGATACATACCAGCACAAAAGCAGTCTCTGCTGGTTAAGACAAGGACCTTAGTTGCTCTTCCAAGTACCTGTCATCACCCTGTTCTGAGACCACCTGCCTGCCCTTCACACTGTTCCAAGCACAGTCCAAACCAGCTGCTTTGTACACACAGGCTCCTGTTTCCATACAGCTCTCCAGACAAGCCTTTGGTAGGCGTGAGGAGCGATCATTTTCACTCCTGTCCCAGGCATGCTGGAAGCTGGAAAGACACTGCAGAGTCTGGGAGCTGTCCAGCACGACGCATCTGAGTCATCAGGACGTCACTCTCTCCCTTCTTCACCTGCACCGATGAGATGCAGAAATAATGAAGCCGAGCTAGCCAACTATACCTGCTACCTGCAGTGTTTTCTACACTCCAAGCAGAGCCCAGGTCTAATACTGCACAGCCTAGTCATTCTTAGGGGAACTCAACTGGGCAAAGCACAACTACATGCAAGCTTAGGCTAAATCCTTACAGCAAGAATGCTGGAGCCAACCACAGGTGAGAGCAGAGAACCAGGAGCGATATTGCACAGATTTCCTAAGGGGGTCAAGAAAAAAAAGGCAGCCAGAAAGCTTACACTGAACAGTCCAAAGCAAATCCAAAACAAGCAAAAACAGGGGCTGCAAACTCTTGCTGAACAAAAAGCATTGCACCAACTTCAGCAGATCTTGGAGCATAAGTTGAAATTCAGATTGTAACAACTCTATGACTGAGCTTCTTGTGGCAAGAAAAATATTCTATGCAACTTTTGTATTACCTATTTGCCCAGAATTTATGGAATGTCCAATACCAGTGTGTGTGTGTGGGGGGGGGTGGGCTCCAAGACCCCTACCCCAACATAGATACCACAATCTTAAGACTTATTAAGTCCCTTATAAGATTATATATTTTATATTTCCATAAACACATCTTATATATTTTCAATGATCCCTGGGCTACTTATTTAAATAGTTGTTATATTTCATTGTTTAGGGACTAATGACAAGGAAAAAGATCAATACATGTTTAGTAGAAATACATTTTTCACGATTTTTTTTTTTTAAGACAGGTTTTCTCTGTGTAACAGCCCTAGCTGTTCTGGAACTCACTCTGTAGACCAGGCTTTCCTGAATATTTTTTATCTGTATTTGATTGAGTCAACTGATATGGAACCCACAGATTTGGGACCAGGGAGGTGGAGGTGTGTGTGTGTGTGTGTGTGTGTGTGTGTGTGTGTGTGTGTGTTGGGGATGGAGGGGGCGTAATTTATTTCCAGACCACTAATATTGACCAAAAACCTTCTCAGAAGCAGACTTCAGAACTAGTCTAGAACTAGGTTGCAGCAAAGTCCTAACTGCAAAAAAGCATCTATAGGGAAATGTTTTTGTAAACAATGGTATGTTAAAAATATAATAACAGTCAGATGGTGGTGGTGCGAGCCTTTAATTCCAGTACTTTGGGAGGCAGAGGCAGGCAGATCTCTGAATTTGAGGCCAGCATGGTCTACAGAGCTAGTGCCAGGACAGCCAGTGTTATGCAGAGAAACCTTGTCTCAAAAAATATAAACAAACAAAAAGATGAGTAAGTAAAATAACAGAAAATAAGAAAGCAAGCTGAGCTTGGGATCTCAGCATCCAGGATATTGAAGGAGAATTTTGCATTCATAGTAGCCTGGGCTACATAGTGTGACTCCTATCTTTCAAAATTACACACACACACACACACACACACACACACAATTCATATTATATAATGGTGAAGATATAACATAGAATTCATAGAATAAGCTTCAAGCAAAAGAAAGACAAAAGCTCTTGCCTTTATCCTTGTGACCTCTATCTACTGCTCTATGAGGCTCAGGAAAAGCATCGAGAAAGCCTAAAATAAAGCTTTTGTCTTCCCAGAGCTTGTTAGTGAAGTGGCTTTCTTGGCAGCAGATCACATGGTTTAGCTCTCTCGCTGACACCTGTAGTTATAAGTCAACTGAGTCAGGAAAAGGAGGGGTTAATCCCATGATCTGTGCCTCGATCCAGGGAAAAATGTTGGCAAAGCTGCCAAGAAAGGGACTTCCCTCATTTAGAAGATGGCTGCATGCTGGGCGTGGTAGTGCATGCCTTTAATCCCAGTACTCCTGAGGTTGAGGCAGGCGGAACTCTGTGCGTTCCCAGTTAGCCTGGTCAACAGAGTGAGTTTCAGCACAGCCAAGGTTATCACACAAGGAAACCCTGTCTCCAAAAGCCAGTAAGAAAAAAGAAGATGGCTAAGAGAAGTGTCACAGTGGAAAGTGTCTCCAATCAGGAACAGTGTTCATGCTCACACTTACATAGAGAGGATTTAAAGGGTACATAGGATTTATTCTCATGAGACTCACTTCCAATATGGCTAATCACCATTTGTCAATCTTCCCATTGCACCTAATACAGGTGCTGTCCTTGAGGGGCCTCCTCGTCCCTGAGTGTTTCAGAGAGAAGAGACTAGTCCAGACTTCAGAGCAAGGCCAGAGCCAAGAGCAGCCTTTGCTGAACTCATTTCACCTGTACACCAAAGCTGGCAGCTTACAAGTAGTTAACAACTCGAGCCACAGCTGTAGGCTTGGGTCTTCTTATGGAGTACGTTTAAAAAAAAAAAAAAATCAGTATTTTGGAAAAGCATCCAACAGGGCTGGCTTAGCAACCTACAGCCCACAGACCAGAATTGGCTTGCCAAAAGCCAGGACCAAATGGTAAGAAAAAGAGAAGGGTGCCCCGTGTCAGAGAAAGTGGCATGAAATCCGCATTCATGTCTTATCTGGATCCTGGGTTGTGGTAGGGTCCACAGTCATTTCAAGAGTAATATCCTCTTGACAAACATGTAAACGAAACACGATAAAATCAGCCAGTGGTGTATGTGTAGGCCTGCCTCTGTATGGAAACCTACTTACTGTTTTCTCCTCTTCACCAAAGTGAAAAATGTGCACAGAATCTATTATGGGATACATGATGATTATTTGTGAATGGCAGAGACAAGATGCCATTGACCAAGTGATCCGAGGTGTAAAACAGAAGCCAGGCATGGTGGGCACACTTCTAAACCTGACTTTCAGGAGGCTGAGTCAGGAGGCTTGCCACAAGTTTCAGAAAAGCCTGTGCTGTATAGCAAAAGTTCAACTCAAAGAAAAAGAGAAGGAAAGGGAGAATGGAAAATCATTATGCAGAGAGGAGCACATGAGGCTGAAGAGAACAGAGACCTTGCTGAGAAGGGAAAGCAGGCCTA